GTAGTACAACTTTAGTACGCGGAGTATCTGTGGAGCTGGAAGCTGAGAAGTGGCGACTTTGTAGTACAACTTTAGTACGCGGAGTATCTGGCAAGCTGGACAATGAAGACATGATTTTGACTTTGAAAACACCACCCACTTCGCGTGCCCGCGCCAGCTGCACTTAACTTTCGCTTGCAGATGCCCAGTTGCTTCAGCACGCCGGTGTGGGCTGGTGATCTTGCTTTGGCATAGACACAACCCAGTGCGCTGATCCTGCAGGGAGCACAGACCTTGCACAGGTGGCGCTGTGTGTGTGTGTCAACAGTCCGGAGCGCATGCGTTTGGCTCAGTGAGTGACACGAGGGACACGCATGGTGGAGAGAACGTGGACACTCCTATAGGTCAATGTGTTCTTATAGGAAACTTCCGCCGCCGGCTTGCCCGGGAACTGCTTGTACAGTAGCTGTCCAAAAGAAACTACTCATCCGAAACAAATTTGAAATCTTGGAGGCATAAAAAATTGTGTCAAGACCACGGCTTTGCCGTGTTTTCATGGAGGCTTGTGCAAGAGTCACTAGAGGAAAAACAAGGCACTGTTTAACAAGTTTAAACTGAACAATCCGCTCTTTAGAGCACGTGTTCTGAATAAGAAAAGTATAGTTTTTTGCTAATTGCCCCCGTGTCAGCATGTAAGCACGGAGCACTGACTGAGACACAAGTACCTAAATGTTTGAAGGATGTGCACCGGGAGACCAGGCTGGAAACAAGGCTTACATACTTGTTTGTCAGGAGGTGTTTTGAGGAGTCTCTGTCTCTGTCGGCTTGCTAGATCAGTGGTGGGAAATGATTGCTATCTATACACAGTACGATACAACAATTCCAACACACATGTGCACAAATCATCACAACATGGTCCTTTCCGCTAAGCTGCTGCATCAGCAGGTCATTTTGGAGCCTTACTCCAACAACGCGGCCCAAAATGCAAATTGAAAACTCCACAATCACACAGCCAAGCAACTGCTTGTCTTCCAGACCTGTGCTGGCAACCGGGGGCAGCAACGATCCAAAATGCTGAGAAGAACTTGATTCAAATCATGTTGGAGTGGGAACAGAGGCATCTTCGCAGTAGCGACTGAGTCTCTTTTCAATGTCTCTCCCACATCAAGCAACTAGCCTTCTCAATCGTTGAATGTTATATATATATATCATACATATATAAAAATAACTTAAAATACAGATATATATATATATGTGCAGTTGAAAACGAGGTTTCGACGTTTCGGAACGCCTTTTCACCTTGAGCCAAAACATGTCGTAAGTCACGTGTCTGCAGTATCCTAGCGGAGTCTTTATGGGCTGTACATGCAAACACTCCTCCTCTTGCAAAGCACTGTACTGCTGCGCAAGTCAAAGTAAAACATGTGAAACCTCACGCTGCTAAGCCACTCTCAGCTGTGGTAGTGGAGCTTGGCCAGGGACCTTACTCCAAAACATCCAGCTGCCCTTTGCTTCGCTTACCGAGGAAGGCATATTGCAAGTCCTCCATCGTCTTGCGAAGCTGCACCCCAGGAACCGACTTGGTCAAAACATCGGCTTTGTTCTTAACTCCTGCAACGTGGTGCACTTTCAAGTGGCCTTCGGCAACTCTTTCCTGCAACCATAGGTAACGAGTTTGGATGTGTCTGGCTTTACGTAATCCAACTCGGTTGACGGTTCCTTTGGCTGCATTGGAATCGCCTTCTATGGTGACTTCCAAATCCAAACCAAGATCTGCGCATAGGCTTTGAAGTCCTAAGCCCACAGATCCGCCCTTGACGAGCGCGTAGTATTCGGCTCTCGCCTGTCGAAAGGGCTATGGTGGATTGGATGTTGCTGCTGTGTTTCAGCACGTGTGTGCCGTAAATGGCAACCATGCCAGTCGTGCTCTTGCGTGTCACAGCATCTCCACCGTGGTCAGCGTCGACCTGGATCCTCAACCTTGAGGGTACCTGCTGTGAGCCAAAACATTGCCCAACATCAGGGTACTTCTTAAGGTACCTGATGAGACGTTTCAAGTCTGCAAGTTTGGCTTCTGTTGGCGACACCATACCTCGAGCGAGGTTCTTGACTGCGTGCCCAATATCAAGTCGATCTTGGGACAGATACGCAGCGCGCATCGTGGCTGAGCGATACCTCGATGCCTCGCTCTTATCTAGCAGCGGACTGCGGCTTTCCAGCATCTGCTGATCTGCCGACTGCTTGACATCTGGTGATTCTACACCATTTGCCTTTTCCAAGCCAAATGCCTGGATCAAAAGATCAACATGTCTCCGGTCGGCTTCGATCACAATCGATCCTTTGCCGTTCTTCTTATCGACTCGGATCAACCGATTCAGAAAGTGTGCTTCTGTTCGGTCTCCATCCTCGTCTCCAAGAATTCCGAGACATTTCAGCTCATAGGCGTCCTTGAGGACTTGACTGAGCTTCTCCACGTGTTGGGCATCTCCAAGTGCTAGGAAGTCATCTCCATGCACCATAACTCTGACGTCCCAAGCTTCTTGGTAGAAGACTGACGCGTTCGACAAACCTCTGCGGAAACCGGCTTTCTGCAGAGTCTCTGTGCAGTGCGTCTGCCAGATATTCGGAGCGTCCTGTGTCCCGTACATCGACTTTACGAGAAGTCCACAGGTCTGTCCGTCTTTGCTGGCTTCGTCCTCCGGCGGTAGCTCTATGTAGATCTTTCTCTTTGGAGTTCCATGAAAGTGTGCTCGTGAGATGTCCCACAAGCCCAGCTTCAGTGGCTGGTTGTGGCAGGACTTTCTCTTTGTTGCCCACAACGAGCACAGCAGTCTCATCGCCTCTAGAGGGGGCGTGCTGCTGAAAAGCAAGTTGGCTGGCAATTGTTCTTCTTTGGTCTTCCTTGCCTTTATCTCACGCACAACTAATCGGCTCCTGTAATTCGGATTTGTTGGATCTCCCTTGTTGGTGTCCAACCATCTGACTGGAAAACACTCGGCCCTTGGCCTTGGCGCATAAACGCCATGCTTCTCTTTCAAGTAGTCCATCTCAAGGCGTCTTGCCTCCTTCACTTTCTCAGCTGGCAAAATGCCGCCATTCACATCGTCCATGTAGACCTCTTCGAACTCTGGGTCCATCAGAGGCATCTCTGGAACTGGACCTGCTGCGAACAGATCAAAGGTGTTCAGTTCACCTTTCTCTGCTAGCGTGTCACGCAGGCTCCTCAACACTGCCTTCACAAGCTGCGGTGGGTATACCGCTGCCTGCCAAGCAATGCCTCCGATCAGGTGGCCATGCATTCGAGCAGACCCCTTGCAGGACTCGTGCCAACCCTTCATCATTGGTCATCCAACCGGTCTCCTTTCTCACATAGCCAGTGCCTTGGAGTCCTCTTCGGTCAGTGGCCTTCATTTGCCATCTGCACATTGGACCTTTCACCACGAACACTCCATCTTCTTTTGCTAGAGCCTCAACCTTTCATCTTTCCAGCTGGTTCGGGCCCATGGTGCCTCATGAAGGAACTTGCGCCCAGCGCGGTGTTGCTTGACATACAACTCCACGCTTGTATGCAAGTGATGGATGGCCTCATCCATCTTCTTCCTTCTCACATCCGGTGCCATGTTCTTCCAGTTCAGGTTCTGGAGTTGAGAGAACATGTGACATGGGGGAGAACCTGTCAAAAGGACTGGTTCGTCTCTGTCCACAATGTCATGCACCTCTTGGATGTCTTTGGGCTTGTTCAAGTCCCAGTATGTTCCATCCTCCTTCACTTCATTCAAGTCGACCGCAAAGCCCGGTCGCAACTTGTACCGCTCTGCAAGCGCGGTGAACCTCTTGGGCGAGTAGATTTATGAGGCTTACGCCTGACAGCCGGGCGCCGGCCCATTTGGGTTTGGGTCCGTGCAGGGCTGGGGTCCTCTGTCCCTCTCTCTCTCTCTTTCTCTCTCTCTCTCTCTCTCTCTTTTTTTTCTCGGTGCTTTTACCTCTCGCCAAGCTTTGATGCCACAGGCTCTCTGGCCCAAAAGTGGCCGAGGTCAAGGATCATTCGCCTTGGAACCTCCACATCCTAGCTGCAAAGACCACTCACAAGGTCTCCTGCTCAGCTATCTGAGCTCGCCGGGCCGAACTTCAATTTCATCTGGCCCTTGGCTCTCGTACACAACTGGTGCACCCATTGTTGCGCGCGGCCTTCCACCACTTTGCAATGCTTCAGGCATTGTTGACACTCAATCCACCTTCCTTTCTTGTGGAGGGCATGGCTTGGGTGGATGCGCATGCGTAAGTGGAGTTCAGATTCATCCACAGGGCCAGTGATGCATTCTTTGGCTTGCAACTGCTGCAGTTGAGTTTTCCCACTTCTGCGTGGGATGCGCTCCCAGCACAGCCTGCACCCAAAGTTGCTTCCTTGTAGAAACCAACGGTGCCCACTTTGGCCTTCTGCACGAAGGCTGGAGTCATCCACAAGTTCTTTCATCTGCTGCTCCATCGTCTTTTCTGCATATCCAATGCATGCAGTGTCCTGCTTCATGGCTATCTCCCCATGTGTCGCACAGCCCTTTATCTTCTTCTTGCAGTGCTTGCATTGCACCCCTGCCTTGCACATCTGCCAGGCATGGCACCCTGGCTGCTCAGGCCTTAGGGTGAGCTGCCGGAAGACTTCCAGCCTTCCCTTGGTTTGCTTCTCCACTGGGACCTTCTGTGTGGCCTGCCTTGGCTCCAGCTTGCCGTTCACGTAATGCTCCTTGTCATGAAGCATCTGGCTGATCCGCTGGCTCGCCACCAGGTACACCTCAAGGTGAAGCTTGTCTTCCTCTTGCAGATCCTTCTCCAGATCTTCCGGCTGCTCCCTTCTTGCCCGTTCATCTGCTGCTTGCTTGGCCAGGAGGTATTGTTGCCACCCTCGCCCTTCACCATCATGGGTCTTGGAGCTTGGGGTTTTGGTCATAAACAACGTCGACGTTCCCCCCTTTCTGCAGTCCTCCATGGCGGCCAAGCTGAGTTCGAAGGGTGCGCAGTCTCTGAGGCGCAATGCCTTGTGCTTCAAGTCCATAGCAAGCTGCCGAATGGACTGACGTTCGCCACACTCTAATGCGGATTGGCCTTGCTCTGATCTTCAGGTGATGGAGCTTCACGTTCCGTCGGCCACCTTTTAGGAGTCTTTTCTGCTGGGTGCCAATCCTCCTCCTCCTCCTCCCTCCACTCGAATCTAGGCCAAGATCCTTCAGGAGGTCGTGGACAGTGGGTTGATCTTCTCTCCTGTTGGTGGCAACGGCTCTCTTGCATTCATTTGTGGAGGCCAGGAAACCTGTCTTGCTCAGAGACATGTTCAAACCAGCTTCATCCAGCCGCTGCTTCAACACATCAAAACCGTGCAGCGCCTCATTGCAGACCTCATTGGCAGTTTGGCCCACAAAGTCGATTGAGATGTCGTCTACCCACACATCAATGGAGGCCTTGCTGAACTGCTCCTTGAAAGGTCCAAGTACGGGGCCAGGATCAACTTGGCAACAAGCGGGGCCACAGGGCATCCTGCCAGAATCCCTTTGGAGCATTGGACTGCTTGAGAGGTGACTTGTTCTGCCTGAAGCAATCGAGGCCCACTGTAAACTTCATAGACAAAATTCATCACTGCAGGAGGAAAGTCCAGCGGCTCCCAGGTCACCAGCAGTTGTTCCAGCTCCACACTGTCATAGAAACATTGAAGGTCAACCAGCAGTGAAATGACATGCCTTCCAATCGCACGCCCAACTTCACATTTCAACAACCTCATGAGGGCCACCTGCAGAACATGTGTGCCCGGGACACTTCGTTCCCATGTCAACTTCTGGCCAATGCTGCATTGCCACGGCCTCAGTTTGTCCCATCTGAGGCGGCACCACGTCCGGTAGAGGACGCTTGTCAGTGAGATGGGCCGTTCTATCTCTGCCTTCTTGGGGAGCAGCAACACCACTTTTGTGCGGGCCTGGTCTGGCAACCTGCCCTCAAGTTCCCACCTCCTGTACATATTGCACAGATCAATGACTCCTTCCAGTGGCAA